TAGATGACAAATCCGAATGAGTTCCCTACATTCAAGTAAAGTTGGCTGAACGGCAAAGTATTTTTCACAATTGCCCCCAATAAATTATTCAGATGATATATGTGTTAAAATATCTATTAGACTATAGTTCTGGCATAGCTGCATGGCCATCATTTCTTTCTTCCTTCTAAGGATAATGGCACACTGTAGTTAGAGTTTTAATAGATGATGTTGCCTTCCAGAAAATCCTTCCAGAAAGATTTCCGTTTTTTATCATGAGCCCCTTTGAAAATCTGATTAAAGTTGGGAACCCCCACTTCAAAAGAATACTCATGCATATCTATACCACACACACAACATTTTGCATACAGCCTCAGGGAATCACAGTCTCCTGATTGATTGGATGAGTCAGGACCTGCCCATTTAAAACCATTCACAGTGTGAACCAGTGTAGAAATTCATGTGTGATGGTCATTTCCATTTAGGGTTTCTTGCTCATTAGAAAACTGACTACAGTGATTCAAGAAATCAATTGAGAGTTTACAGTAGTAGAATTGTATGTATGAAAATTTTGTTAAATTCTACAAGAATCTTTATAAAGTCTTCTCAGTATTTCTGAATGTTGTTCGTTTCCATTAAGCCTAGTAAACCAGAAAGAACCAATTTTAGGGTAGGTCATTTTTCTTGTAAAGTTTGCTGAGAGTGAACTCTGTTTTCTAGGATTCAAGTGCAAAAGACATATGAGAGCAAGGTAAACCCAGAGCAATGGAGGCAGTTCCTTATTTTCTATACAAGTAAATATTATGTAAGTGATGCATGCATTTCAAAGTGGGATTATAATAGGGAAGATCGTGGAATTTTGTAGTATTTCGCAGGAACAGATGAAAAGGGGTAAGAGTGCTCCATGTAGAATTTTGGCGTTGAGGACTCAAACTTCTAGTGAGGTTGCCTTCTGTCCATCTCTTTCTTTTGAACCCTTGAGAGATGCTAACCATGGTATTTTCTTTTTTCTTATCTCTAATTGTTTTAACTCTGAAACCTGTCTTTCACTTCTTAGATCTTTCGTGTCTGGGACTTGGCCTAATCACTATTCTTGAACAGCTTTCCATGATTCAGCCTTTAAAAAATGACAAAATAGAAACATCAGAAGTCTCATGTTCCAGTCACACTAAAATGATTATAAAACATAACTAGTGCATCAAAATAATGCTGTAACTCAAGATGGAGAGGCATTTGTGCATACATTTGTTCAACAGTATTTTCTATTCACCGTGTATCAAAGCATTATTACTTTCGCCATATGCTAGAACAAGGAAGTCATTTCACTGTGTAAAACTATATGTTAAATTGCCATTTTGTGTATTTTTAACATGTGTAGCAGAGATCTTGATGTTAGGATTTTTTTGGTAGGGTGTAATTGATAACTAAATAAAATACAAACTTTATGGAATTCTGTTTTGAATAAAGGATCATTTTATTAGACCTTTAGTTTGAACCTGGTTAACCAGTCCAGTTCGAGTCCCAAGATTCTCCTATGTTTACCTACTGCTTACTATATAGTCTAGCCACAGGGAACTTCAAAAATGCCCCTTCAATCTCATGAGATCCTTGAGGTTTGGAATTGTCTCTGAATCCTCATTGTCTTGGCCTATTGTCCAACCTTGAGCCACATGATGGTTTTAAGTAGAAACACTGAGTGAAGAAGTGAGGTATGCTCTGTGTATACACTTCACCTTTGTTTGCACAATGTTCATTAAGTATAAATCCTGCAAATCCCCCACCAAGGCCTATATAAACTGTGTCTCCCAAGGACCTTTAGTGAACTTTCCAATGTTCTCTGAACTATTAATAATAGTATCTTATGTAAAAAATATTTTTATATACTTACCAGTTTACCATGTATGATATAATCACTTTGATACAGGCCTCATTCCATTTCTTCTATAGGCTCTTGTGTCAGTTAGTTTTGGCTTTGCATACTACAGGTCTTCTTGGGCAGTCTTCATCTGTTAGATGAGGACTGTGTTATCTATACCTTGGATGCTTACCAGGATCCAGTGAGATGAGGTATATCAAGAGTAGGTGGCCTCACTACGGAAAGAACATAGAGCCTCACACACGTGACTCTCAGTAAATATTCTGAGTCTCCTTTCTCTGTCTCCTCACCTGACTCTAAGCTAAGCTCCTGGAAGGAGGAGTAATGAGGTTTCCTTTTCCCTACTGGCAGTGCCTTGCAAGTGCCTCAGTCTTAATAGATGCCCAAGTGTGTATTGACTGAACGAACAAAAATTTGGATATTCTTGATAATAGTAATATTTATGACACTTTTAAGATTCAAAATTGGATTAGTAAACATAAAAATTAGAATACATAATCTTTGGTATTTGTGTTATTTAATTCTTGGCCTTGATCCAGAGTTTACATATCTCTAGATGTTTATGTAAAGAGTGTGACATGCTGTAAATTATCCTGAAGAAGTTCTCCAAATGTAACTTTTAGTCTGGTTGTTGCATTTGGCATCCTCTCAGCCAACAGAATTTGAAATATTTTAGGAAAACTATAAGCTACTTAAAAATGCAGTCCAGGTTTAAATTAGAACTCAGATACTGATTTTCTACTGAATTGAATCATGTGACGATAAAGATAATGTCTGACTGTTCCTGTGACTGTTCTCACTTTGAGAAATGTTTCAAGTATATAGATTGAGTACATTTAGAATGTGAAGGAACTAAGGATAAGCCTCTTTACTCAAAATTTAAAAGATGTGATAATATGTGAAATTAGAGGCTTTTTTGCTTGGGGAGAAATTTATCAATTTTTACAACTGATAGGAAATCTCTTTGTAGTAGTTAAGTGGCTAGTGAATGTTGAAAAATGAAAGCCTTAATCCTAGGCTTCCTGTAATGCTATTGACAGTTTTTATATTTTAAAATACCAGAGTAGCAAAAACAAACAAATCAGAGCGACACTGCTGAAGACAAGTGTTAGAACGCCGATTCTAAATGGGTGTGTTCCGTATGTCCATTTTTATTCCTTTCTCTCACAGAATATTCCCTCACCCACACCCATTCCCCAAAAGCCCAAGAGTATGATCTAACTTAAGGTTATAATCCAGTCGATGGCCTTCTTAGTTCTGAGAAAGTATACAGATGGTCTTTTCCTGTTCATGTCCAGCCTTTTCTGAGTGTCTGGTGTCTGTGTGTCATGGTGCTAGGTGCTGGCGATAGAAAGATGGGCATGACTCAGTTATTCCCCAAAGCTCACAGGGTAGCTTTTTACATCATGTTCCCTAGCGCTCTGCCATCCCGAGAAATGATAATAAATATATCGTGGTCAAAGGGTTACATAGTTCTTTAAGTACTAGGGAATGCTTTATCTTCATCTTGGTTTTTTTGTTTTTTTTTTAAAATCCTCACCTGAGGATTTTTCCCCCCATTGCTTTTCAGAAAGAGTGGAAGAGGGTAGAGAGAGACAGACAGACAGACAGAGACAGAGACAGAGAGACAGCCATTGATGTGAGAGAGACACATGGTTTGGTTACCTCCTGCACGTGCCCCGACCAGGGCTGGGGATCAAGCCTGCAACAAGGGTATGTGCACTTGGCTGGAATCGAACCCAGGACCTTCAGTCTGTGGGCCAGCACACTAACCGCTAAGCCAAACCAGCTCGAGCTATCTCCACCTTGGTGGGACCAAGAAGTCTTTCAATAAAGAAAGTTTAACCTTTTAAATCCAATATTTTCTTAGCTTGTTTAACCACAGGACCCTTTTTTTGTGTCACACATGATAATGTCTCAAGGGCTGTAAATGCTGCATAGCACAGAGTTTAGGAACCTGCACAGGATGATTATGAGGAGATAGGTGCAGTGAGCAGCGGGGGAGAGGAATAGGGGAAGTCTTCACAGAAGTGCTTACGTGCTCAGCCAAGTGTGGATTGATGAGTGTACAGAGGAAGGGAGGGGCAGCTTAGGGTGAGGCAGAAAAAACAGTGTATGAAAGCATAAATGTTTGACAGAGCCCGGTGTGTCTGAGGAGACCCCAAGTAGTCCAGTATTATTAAACCAAAGCAGAAGAACAAGCTATACCAGGGAATGATTCAGGGCCCTTGAAATGTATAAAAAGTCTTGAATAGCGTAAGTGGTCTAGAAAGCAGGTAGTAGTTAGATTCTAAATTTCAGTTAAGTAAGGTCTATCATGCTTTATATTTAAAGCTAATTTTTCAGAAGGAAAAGAAAAATTTCAGATTTATCAAAAACTAGCAAAAATATGAAATTAACTATTATGGCTGAATCATCTACCATGTGCTGCGATTGAGTTTCTAAGTTTATTTTGTGATTCTTTGAAAGAAATTGACTCATCTATGAATATTTAATATAGTACATTTGGAATGATGAAGCAATTTTCCTTTTTAAAAGTTTTGAGTTTACTAATTTCTATTTTGAAGTTAATTGTAGGAGAATGATCACACATGAAGACAGAACAATGGGATGTCATTTTTATAGTTTCAAATGTAAGGTTTAACTGAACTTTCTCTACCACCATTGATTCCCATTATAAAATATTGGAAAGTATAGAAAAATTCATGGTAAACACCACGTTTAAATACTGTAATCCATTCAGTGCATGTACCATTGTTTGTATAGCTAAAGATGGTCTTTTTTTTTTCTAACCATATTTTTAGATGGATTCCAATTTCTTTGTTATTATAAATGTTCTGTATATATAGTTCTAGAACTAGAATTATTGGGTCAAAAGTAGGAATATTTTTAGGGCTCTCATGCAGTAATTTATATTTCCACTGGGAGTTTACCAACTCCCAGTGTTTATTTCATTAGGTATTGAGAACAATCATTTTTTAAAAAGACAAAAATAAGAAAGCAAACTGTTGGTTTAATAGTTTAAAAATATGGACCTATGTTGTTTCATTTGTGGTTTTAACAGTGATAGTTCATAATTTTTAATACTTTGTATAAACGAAGGTAAGGGTTTTCTCTTGATATGAAGCTCCTTTTTACTTTTGAGGTATCCATCACGAATTGAAAAAATTGACTATGAGGAGGGCAAGATGTTGGTCCATTTTGAGCGTTGGAGTCATCGTTATGATGAGTGGATTTACTGGGACAGCAACAGACTGCGACCCCTTGAGAGGCCTGCATTGAGAAAAGAAGGCCTGAAAGATGAGGAAGATTTCTTTGTAAGTAGCAGGCTCTTTTCGTTTGCTAGATATGTAATGGTATATTTTAAAAGGAATTCTGTTGAACTGTACAAAAGCTTGTTTTTATTAAGGAAACTCTTATTTATTATACATGGTATTGATCTTAAAAGTTGTTTAAACTAGGATTTTAAAGCCGGAGAAGAAGTTCTAGCTCGGTGGACAGACTGTCGCTATTACCCTGCCAAGATTGAAGCAATTAACAAAGAAGGTATGTATCTGAAGTGACCTGAGATTTAAAGTGGGATTAATAGTAAAATTTTAACTGTATTCCTAATTTTAATTAATGTGTAAACTGTTTAAATTAGTAGAGGTAAATAGTTGGTTAAATTTTTTTGGTTTTCAGTTCATAAGCTTATATTATGTGCTTTTGCTGTTTTCTAATCCTCACCCGAGGATACTTTTTCTATTGCTTTTCAGGGAGAGAGAGAGAAACATCGATGTGAGAAACACATAGATTGGTTGCCTCCTGCACTCAGCCCAAAGGCCAGAGCTGCAACCGAGGTACATGTCCTTGGCCGGAATCGAACTTGGGACCCTTCAGTCTGGGGGCTGACACACTAACCACTGAGCCAAACCAGTTAGGACTGTATTGTATGTTTTTTATTTGTACTTCTCTGTTTCCAGTTTGTTGTCTAAACTAATTTTAGATGCTCATTTCAACCAGAGTGTGATGAAGGGTTGAAGAAAGGGAAATTCAGATCATTTGAACTTGGACGTGAAATACTGTGCAATATTTTCTGAGGAAAGAGTATGGAACCTCATCAACTTGAGGGTCTCCTTCATTGCATCTTTCCCCTGCACTATTTTTCTTAATTTCTATAGATAATTGAGAGTTAATTTTCTATTAGCCTTTTGTGATATCTAATGATACTGAGCAAAAGTTACTGAGCTGATCAGAAATATTGAAAATAACTCAGAAAGAGGTGTGTTAGTGTGGCATAAGACCAGTAAATCTATTGTACAGGTAATGAGTTTAAAAAACAGAACTTGTAGAATGATTAATTTGAAAAGGTATGAGAATATTTAAATTCTTATTGGAAGTATACTTATTTTATTTTTTAAAATTTCTTATTTAAAATGGCCTTTAAAACAGCTGTGAAATACTTGTAAGTATATCTTTCAAGTTGGTAATACATTACTTTTTCTCTTACAGTTATTTCTTAAACTTGGCCACTCATTTATTCTTTTTACTAAAGAAACACATCAAATGACAGCTTCTTTGCAAGAAGGGCATTTAATCTAAGTATGGGGACATTTTCTTTAAACTGAATTTGAAAGGCAAACAAATAAGCTAGATACAGAAAGAAGGAAAAGGCCTTTCTGGTAGAAGAGATGGTGTATGCAAAAGAAATGAAGAGAGGCATACCGCTTGCTGGGAACGGCAGCCTCCGGTGTGACTGGAGGGAAGGGCTCCTCTGCAGGGAGCAGGGCCGCAGAGGAGGATGGGGAGAGAAGCAAGGATGGGAGTAAGTGCCTTGTAGTCTTGCTGAAGAACTCGAGTTTTATTTGGAGGTGATGGGAATCATGGAAGGGATTTAAGCTGAGGCTTTAAACTGACAACAAATTAGAAAAAATAGGGGGTAAGAAGATAGAAGAGGAGGACCTTTAAAAAGAGATATATTAATGTTAGGTATGAAAGAGTAAGTCACAGCCATCTAGCTAGGGAGTAGGATTATAACTTTACAAAGGTCCTATTCTAGTTTATTGTTTTAATGAATTAAAATAACAATTATGGCCATGATTTTATTACACTAGTGACCTTACTACAGGAAGAATTGAGGGACATCTCAGTTTTCTCCTTTTCTAGTGGGGCCTTTACCTCACTGCATTTAGGCTTCTGGAGAGCTCTGTTATGGAGCTTATGCTCCTGTTTCTTATGCACGTGGGCTCTCCAAGGGCCAAATCAGAGCCTAGCACAAAGTAGGCAGTCAGGAACAGTTTGTGGAAGGAAAGGAAAGAGTAATGAATCAGTTCTGTTGGATAACAGTACCCACCCAAAACACAGCAAAATTAAACAATGCTGTTTTAATTAAGAGCAGGTTCTTTAAGTGCAGTGAGTTGTGGGACTGTCCTTCCATGCTTAAAGCTTCTCGGGAGTCTGCATAGCCAAGTGCATACATATACACACCTGCAGCACACTCAGAAACAGAACCGCCGCATTCTTTATCCTGCCCCATTGTCCGTGGGTGTGTGATGTAGAAAATGAAGCTTATATTTGTGGAAGAGGGATGAAATCATTGCTGCCATTTCACCCAGTGATCCCATATCTGGGTGTATATCCTAGGAATCCCAAAACACCAATCAGAAAGAACATATGCACCTCTATGTTCATATCAGCACAACTTACAATTCCCAAGATCTAGAAACAGCCTAACTGCCCATCAGTAGATAAGTGGATAAAAAAGCTGTGGGACATTTACACAATGGAATACTATGTGGTGTAAAAAAGAAGGACCTCTTACTGTTTGGGACAGCATGGATGGACCTGGAGATGATTATGCTAAGCGAAATAAGGCAGGCAGAGAAAGACAAATACCATATGATCTCACTAATATGTGGAATCTAATGAACAAAATAAACTGATGAACAAAATAGAACCAGAGGCATGGAAGCATGGAACAGACTGACAGATGTCAGAGGGCAGGGGGATGGGAGAGACTGGATAAAGGAAAGTGAAGGTATTAGGTAAGAACTTATATGCATAGCCTAGGGACATAGACAATAGTGTGGTGAGGGCCAGGGAAGGAGGCTGGGTGGAGGTGGGCAAAGCGGGGAAAATTGGGGATATCTGCAATAGTGTCAACAATAAAAAATTTAAATTAAGAAAGAGAGAAAAAGAAAGGGAAGGATGCTATCTCTGACCAGCCAGACAGTAGGAGCTACTCAGGGTTCATGCTTCCCTTCTCCCAGAGCTATTACAGGGAGCAAGGAATGGGCTGCACAATTCAAACTTAACTTATCTTCATTGAAGAAAGTCAGAATGGCAAATTTAGGAGCAGAATATCTACAACAGAAAATACTAAATGAACTATGGTTTTGACATTTTAAAAAATGAATTGTAAAACAACATAAAAACTAAACAAAAACCCAAAAACCTATATATTCATATGTACATACATGCTTTGAAAAAGGTCTATAAGGGTATACACCAAATTATTGATAGTCATTACTAACCCTAAGGAATAGAATGAGAAGATGGAAACTTGAACTTCGTCCTTTTATATTTCTGTATTTATTGATATTTTAAATACCACTTTTGTAATTAAAATGTAGAAAAATCTTAAAAAAATAGAAAAATCTCCCTTAGGGGTACTTATTTTGTGATTTCTGTAGCCCCACATAGTAGATGAGCCTGCCCCTCCACCCCCAAAAAATGGGAAAAGGGGGAAAAAAACAAAGGAAGCCCTCAAGGAGCCCTCTATTCACTGCAAAAGCTTAACAGAACTAAACAAATGTGAACTTTTTAAGTAGTTGTAATATGTCTTGAAGAGGAGAGGCACATTTGTAGTCTGCAGTAGTCAAGGACATTTTCATATTAGGGTTTGATTTGAGGAGCTGATCCTTGAAGAATGGGCTGGAATTAGGAAGGGAGGGAGGCATCAAACAGTGCGAGTAACACAAGGAAGGAGGGATGCACAGGGGAGCCTGCTCTCCTCTGGAATGCCATTGTTGAAGACGGAAGACAGTTGCAGGAGTGAGGGTAATTTAGTAAGGTGTACGTGTGTTGTGGCATGCTCAAAATTTTCCCTGTGCCTTTATGTTCTTGCTAGTCAACTGATCAGTTCTTTTCATAACTTGGGTTTAGATCTTTATATCTGTAATATAGTATATTATGCTAATTATAGAAAGATACAAAATTCAGATTATTAAAAAGAAAATCTTTGCACATATATATCATTCGCTTTGTGCCAGCTTCAAAGCCAGTAATACCAATTATCACATTTATTGTTTATATTTCTTTTGTAAAGGTCAGGTGTCTTTACTTAAAGTGGTATTCAACTCATTTGTACAGGAAATGATAGAAAGATACTGGAATTTCCATAAGTATAAAATTTACACAGTTTATGTTTTCTAATAGTACTGACTTTTATTGACTTCAAGCATGTAGTCTGTTACAATGAGTCAATATGCTCTGTAATAGACATGCAAGCAGAATCTGGAGTCCCCTAAAGCAGGATGAGTTAGTGGGAGAGGCCTGGGGATCAGGTGTTAGTTATGCCTGTGCTGCTGCATAGCTGTCATTGGATGAGCATTTAGCCTCTCCGTACTGGAGAACTTTTATCTCCATGATCTGTAAAGTATTTTCCAGCTTAAAAGCCTGTAAATCTGTAATTCTTACTTACTAGTTCATTGTTGCCAAAGAAATTATCCTTTCCTGAGAAAATGTTTTTTTTCTATACCATATCTTTCTGTCTGTTAATTGGAAAGAGACTTTGTAAGAGAACAAGTTTTTATAGAAATATTATACATTTTTGTAAATAATGATTTTATTTTTTCCAAGTGTATTATGATATATCTGACATGTTTTTTAAAAATATATATTTAAATTATTACAAAATTAATTTTAAAATCCTTCAGTAAAAATGAGAATTGCATGTAATTAACTTATCAGGACTCAATTTTTGTACTTTTCAAAGGGAAATCAGAGTTGTTTTTAGAGGGAGAGAGAAAATAAACTTAATAAACTTGATAGAGTTCTGAACAGGGTGTATGTTTGCAGTAATTGCAATCACAGATACTTGCTTCTATCAGGGCATTACTAGTTAGATGTCGTGTGTTGCTGTAAGATTGGATTATGTTTTCTAATGATTCTGACTTGCTCCTATTTCAGGAACATTCACAGTTCAGTTTTATGATGGAGTAATTCGTTGTTTAAAAAGAATGCACATTAAAGCCATGCCCGAGGATGCTAAAGGGCAGGTAAGAGTGTCCAGCGTTCCCAGCTACCCAAAGGGATATCTTCTTGAATGGTACTGATCAAAATATACACATATATTTTTAAAGTGAACTAATTGTAGGATTATGTGCTGATAGCCCCAAATAGCAGCAAGAAAAAGAAGCGTAGAATGTAAATTATACACTTGATTTTTGCTCCTTTGGCTTTAGACCTGCTAAAGTTATAGGTCACTAGTTTCTGTTCCAGGTGAAATCCCAGCATCCACTAAGCTGGTGTTGTCCTATCGACCCAGCTGGATCGTGTAACCAGTCTATGGGAAGTGAGGTAAGTGCCTTTTTTTAACTTCATTTTGTTTTTCCTGGTATAGAGTATCATTTAGAAAGTTAATTTTTAATATAAAATTTTATTGAGTTTCTTATCCTCCTCTTTCCTTCTATGAATCATAGTCATTAATCTTCTTAAAAGGCGCTTACCTGACACTCTAGGCTGTTCCAGGTAGGGCTCCCTGAGTCATGTGATGTAAGCAGTGTGTTACATGGTTTGGCACTGCCCAGAGCAAGAATGAACGGTAAGCCTCAGAAGGAGAATCTGAGAGGAAGTTAAAACCATCATTCCATTGGTTGACTATGTTTCCTGAAATACTGGAAAGAAAAGGTGCCAGTAGAAATTTAAAATATTTTCTTTTGTGTTCTGCTGTTATTTGGGATTTTCAGCACCTGGACCTACAATTAATTTTAAGAAATTAAAAGTATGCTGTAAAAATGTCTAATGTGGAAATATGCTACATATTTGTTCATACCGTGCAGTGAAAAATGCCCTGAAATGTGTTGAAATCACCTGGTCAGCTCGATCCAGGGGTGTAGTGTAGTCATCTGGAAACACAGGCCAGCATGTTAAAAAATGGATTCTGATATCTTCTGAGAAGTGTGATTGTTTTAGATCACCTGGTTCTCAATAATTTACTTTCGAAATGATCCGCTAGGAGAATTTTTCCCCTCAAATTAATATGAAATGCAATTTAAAATGGAAATGCTTTTGATCAGTAAATTGCTTTGTGTGTATAAATAAAATGTTCTTTTACTCATTCAGTGGTGTGATTTCTTGGTTACTGCATAGAAACATTGAGTAAAACATTGTGAACTTAGTTTAATTAAAATATCCCTCCCTCCCCTTGTGCATGCTCTTTAAAACTATTATTTTTTTATTCTGGCTATTCAAATGTTTGTGAGATGGCCCTAGTCCTAAAACTTTATTTTTCCCCAAATTGAAACATTGAGCCAATTTGGTGTGTGGTAAAATTACAAGTTGTAAAAATTTATTGACTGTATTGGATATTTAGTTTTAATAAGTGTTTTAGTCACATCATGATGCAAGTTAATATTAAAATCAATGCCAAAATGAAACTACTGAAAGAAAACATTGGTAGGAGTATATTTTCTTTAGTTCTACATTTTTCTTCATAATTTAAAATTACAAGCACATTAAAATATTTGTAGAATTGTTTTTAATAAAATTATCTCATTTTCCCAACAAGCTTTGACTTGTTTTCATCTGAGGAATATGCTAAATCAGATGTTGCTTGGGCAGTGGTGAGAGAGTCCAACTTTGCATACTCTCTTCTACATCTTGAGTACTTTGAGAATTCCTTAGTAAGATACACAGTAAAATTTCTTTTACTAAACTACCAAATAAATGCACTATGGAAATGCCCTTCTCTAAGCTTTCTATAGGTTTTTCTGTCATATTATTTTTTCTTCTCGAGTTTGTGCTGATAAATATTTACATTGTAACTCATTAGTGTTAAAGATTGGCTCATAAGGTCCTTTTACTATTTTTAAAACATATCTTGCATACATTGTTTTACAGCATTTTTATAGCAAATTCTTTGACATAGGTATGGCTGATATTCCTGTTTCACAGTGGAGGATTTCAAAACTTAGAGTGACTCTGAACTCAGATCTGATTTCAGACAGTGCTCTTTCTAGGGCACCACTCCCTTATGGTTTCTATAGGGAACTTGGAAACATATTGTTAGCTCTGATTCCTGGAAGGATCCCACCAGCTATTTTTGATAGTGAACCTTTCCTATTTAAAAATAGAAGAGCAGAATAATGGGAGAATTCTTTTAGTCATACAACCTTAGTGATCCCATGATTAAAAAGTCAGAGGATCAAGACCTTTTCATATCTGCTTTCAGTTTTAAAAGATACAACTTGTATCTTAGTTTCTTGTAGTTTTCTCTTTAATTGGAGATGGAAAACCACTGGGGATGGTTTTCCATCTCCAATTACCCCTGAGGGGTACAATTACCCCTGTCATTTTTCAGCATTTCTCTAGCTTAAAAATTTCCCCATAGTGTAGAGCCCAGAATTAAATGTTCTGCTCTTAATAAGCGTGCAGACATGATCTCTGCTGGATTAGCACTTTGCTTGTCTGGTTGCACTTACTCGTTTTTCTTTCTGCTGGATTGATCGCTGCCTTTCAGTCTTTTTCATTGGTGGTGCTTGCTTTCTTCACTACTTAAACATCACTCTCAAGGCTCAATGTAGCTATCACACTGTAGCTACTCAGATTGACCCTTAGACTCCTCGTTCCCATCGTGTGCACTCTGCAGCCTGCTGTGTTTAGTGGTTTTCCTGCTGCTTGGAGTGCCCATTTCCTTTTTCTCTCCCCTTTCCCTGGCCAGTTCCACTGCAGGGTTTAGCTCATCCATCATTTTCCCTGCAGCCTTCCAGAGCCTTCCTCTTTAGTCAAAATTAATATTCTTTTTTGTTCTCTCATGGTGTTTCGTTTATTCCTATACTATCTCTACTGTCACATTATCTTATAGTTAATTTTATTTGCCTGTCAATTTCTTATGGATAGGACCAAAAAGGAAGTGGCTCTCAGTAAAATGGATTGGGCAATATTGGTACATCTGGGCTTGTTTTGTTTTGTTTTACAAGCTAGAAATGTAAACCTTTATATCACAACCTTGTCATAATTCACTTTCTAATAAGATATATATTGGGGACATAGTTTAAGTACTGGGAAAGCTAAATGCATGTTGGATGTTTTCCAGGTAGGAGCAAGGGTGTGGTCACTCCAGGGCCAATGTGTTCCTGGGGCTTTCAGGCAGCAGCTTTTATCAACTGTGTCTAATGAGTCCTTAGCACCAATAAAAAATTGGTGAATGAATGTGTTAGGTACAGTCACATTCTGTTTTCGTTTCAGTCAGGAGGGAGAGTGAGGGACATAGATTTTGCTTGCTTGTTTTAAATGGCCTGTTGTCCTCACCATGTATTTTCAAGACTGAGCAGCCATCAACTTGTATTGCTTAATAACCCATGTTTGTTAAGGTAACCCAAGAATTAAATGCATTTGATGCTGTGAAATTGATTTTAGTTGCTTAGACTAAGAATTTAATGGATTATCCATTTTGGTTGAATCTGAATTGGTGGTTTTTTCGACAGCTTAGTGACCCTCAGGAAGGGTTAACTCTCTGGAGTTATTACAAATAGTAGTTAAAAAAAAACCCACTTTGTGAAAATTTAAATGTTAGTGCCACTTCTTTACATCTTTCCATGTTTTTTATTATAAGCATTTTAGTTAAAAATAAAAGTAAAAATTATTTGGCAGCAAAAAATATAATATAGGAAAAATAAATAATTGCATCCCAGAAGAATAGCAGCTAACACAGGCCCTGGAGACTTGTAGAGGAAGAGAAATGATCTGGAGTCTGACAATGTCTACTTTACTTTTGCCAAGTCAAGTAGCTCTTTTTTTAAAAAAATTTTATTAGTGATATAAGGCTGTTATAATAAATTGGTATCTGAACTTTAAAAGCTTTAAAAATTAATAAAATCCCACCTTGATTTCTATGAAATTGACCACTCTTCGAGTGGTACAGTTTCCTGACAAGGCATAGTTATTTTCTCAATGGAGTACATTTCTTTTAATCTTTGCAGAATTGCAGTATAAGCGTTTTTCTCTTATTTCTGTTATGGTCTATTGTATTATAGAAAAGAATTGCAATTTCGCATTTAAACCCTAAAGTACTAAGGCAGAATGTCATGTAGTATTCCATATTTGTCACAGGTTTCTTGTTATTTTAGATTTTATTCCTGAGAAAATATAACAAAGGAACATTTATTTGTTATTGAATATTTTTCTATTTGATATAAGGTTATAAATCCAACTAACCCATTAGATTATTAAATTCAGTAATCTACCATGTTGATGATCTACCTTCTATGTATTGTTAACTTGATTTTTAAGTTTGTGTGTATGTGAAAGTAGCTTTGAAAATGTGATACATGTTTTTACTCATTAGTGTAATTAAATTTTGATTAATTTTTAATGTTTCACATGTTTTGTGTTTTTCCTTTGGAGGATTGGATAGCTTTAGTGAAAGCAGCTGCTGCAGCTGCAGCCAAGAATAAAACAGGGAACAAACCTCGAACCAGCGCTAACAGCAATAAAGATAAAGAGAAAGATGAGAGGAAATGGTTCAAAGTACCTTCAAAAAAGGAAGAAACTGCAGCTTCTGTAGCCACACCAGAAGTTGAGAAGAAGGAAGATCTGCCCACATCTAGTGATACCTTTGGTACAAAATATGTTCTTATGCTCATTCCTTACTCACATAGTGAAGAAGTCAGACCCCTTGGCTACCTGTCATTTGAACATGTAGTTAAATTATCAGGCTTTTCTCTAGCATGATATGGTGGTTAACTTGTAGCATTTTACAGATCTGAAGATTAATGGTCTCTTATGGGTACTTGATAACGGATGCCCTCAGTGTTCTTGAATAGAAATGAGTTGAGAATTTGATTTGTAACTTATTGGTGGTAGGTTTTGGGGTTTGTTTGCTTGTTTTGAGTTTTTAAAAAATATTTTAAATGCTGCTTCATGTTTTTCAATATCTAATATATAATATGGAGAAAGCAGCAAGTCACTCTCCCTGCTTTTCTTTCCCCAAGAATAGCTGCTTAGTAGTTTCTATTTCTAACGTAGCAGTCTGGTGAGATCTGTGTGTTTTTTAAGTTCTGTATCAAGCACTAGATTAAAAAAATTAAGCGCAGAGCATTTTACTACTTTGCTATTTTTTAAAAATCATGTGTTTTAACTTTGGATTCTATATAGACTCTCATATATGTGTTCTATTAAAAGTAGGACTTCATGTAGAGAACGTTCCAAAGATGGTCTTTCCACAGCCAGAGAGCACATTGTCAAACAAGAGGAAACATAATCAAGGCAGCTCATTTCAGGCAAAGCGAGCTCGGCTTAACAAGATCACTGGTAAACTGCAATGATTCTTTTGGGGGGGAATGGAGGGTTTGATTTTAGAGAAATTTGTTTTTAATAAAGTCACATATCTTTTGGGGCAATGTAACTGGTTAGTTAGAAAGACAGTTTCTCTATGGTTCTTCAAGGTCAACATCTCTTAAAACCGTCAGCTTTTTGTGTTGTGCAACATGAAAAATATCACTCGTCTTCTACCTACCTCACAGGGATGTTGTGAGGATTGATAGGATCAAAAGTTATAAAGTTACCTAGTATTCAAATCACTTTGGTTGTAGGAATAGTTTCTATAAGAATTGAATTGTCTGCTTTTGTCAACTTGTGGTGACATAATGTCTGAGGTTCTAAATATTATACATTCTTACTCTTGGTCAGTCTCATTAAGGATGGTACTGTATGTGGTTGGATAGATGAACACTGAAGCTGTTAATTCCCAGTGTAAACCGCTTCTGTAAGTTTTAAAAATTGCTCTTTTTATCTTCTGGTTGATCTCTAGAACCTGGTCTTACTTCTGCTTTGTTGCAATTTAGGAAGTAAAGTGCTAGGGCAATGCAAATTATTGAAAACCCCATCCTGGGAGTGTCCATAGAGGAAGGGATTTAAATTGGACTTGGGGCCAGTCATGCTAGGCCCCATCACTCCCTAGGCCTTTTCAGCCTAATGATTCTCGTCTTCAAAAGAAATTGTGAACATACATCATTTTTGTGAGTATATGTTAAAATAACAGTTAAAATACTTTAATTATTCAGTCATACGTTCGTATTTTAAGGACAGGGTGGTTTTAGTACTTTTGGCTTAATAAAGCTATATAAACCTTTGCTGGTATGCTTTTAAATAAATTGAAGGTTGATTTCATTGTCAGATTCAAGAATAAATGTAAACTAAACACTTTGTTCGTTTCCTGAAGAGTGGACACCTTCTGAAGGGTAACTGGAGCAGAAAGTCTTTAGAACAACTGTTTATGACAGTGTTCACATAAGTGATTACAATTGATTCCAACAGATGAGACTTCCTTAGTCTTCCCATTTGTTGATATTATTTTTGTGACTTTTTCTGATAAAGGATTTATTTCGCCCCAGGACAGGAAATATTTAAAAATCGACTCATTCATTCCACCTTTTATTTAGAAACAATTAGCTTTGGAGAAAACCAGAATGTTATCCAGGTGATTGTTATGATGGCACCTTGAGCCTTCAGTTTTGCCTTAGACTAATGGATCATGGGGCTGCGCACTGCGGCAGAAGTGGAATAGTGCTTCCAACTCCAGGGACACAAGATTGAAGCAGCTCTGTTGGAGGAGCCCAGGGCAAGGAGGGTGAAGTGACGCCGACCCGACGTGCCTGCCTGCGCACTAGCACTGGGCTTTCCTACCGTCCGAGTGGCCTGATTCCATTCTCAGTCAGCGTGCTCACACATGTGCCTTGCTGAGAAGTTCAAGCTCAACCTTTAAAGAAGTAAAAACAAAAATAAGGAACGGCTCATTCCACAATGATGCATTACCTCTGCATGACCTTGAAAAGACAGTGGGGAGCGGGGAGGAACCATTTTACCCTGTGCCTCACAGGAATCCTAATGCTGGTGGTGGTGGGACACCCTGTGCCCTCTGTGGAGGGACTTTGCCTTCACTTCCCCTTGGGGATCTCAGATGAACGAATACGTGATAGTTTGGTGGTAGAAAAACAGAAGATTTTAGAATGTGAAACTGTTATAATTTTTCCCTTTTATTTACTCAGAAGATTTAAATGTATGATAATCCTTTTAATAGTTCATCTCTCTGCATTTATTTCTGATTTCATGTTACAACTATATCATGCAAACAGAAATAGACATTATATGATTGTCTTTGATGAGTAAAACTCGAGCTTGCCTCTGTACAGTAAATTTTGTTTGTAGACCATAAAAACAGATGAGAACTAATACAAAAAGAGCCGTTTTGTTGTGGAATTACGGTGTATTGTAAATTTCTCAAGCTCACATACACTTGTCCTTTTGTTCCTTTGCTACTGAGAGAAATAGGGCTGTGACTGTGGCAGATCTCAGCCTGTTCTGATGATTTCCCCGCACCCTGTATTTTAAATAGTTCAAGCTGGAATTGAGTGGACCAACCCCTGGATAAATTTAATTCATGTATTTATGCACTCTTGTTCTGCATGTGCACTACTCTACAGAGAGCTAAACTTGATTTCTACATAGGGAATGGCATAGGATGGCCTTTTCATGTTTCCAAATAAGTAGACATTGAAATTATAGCTGCATGGTATATATATATATATATATATATATGTCTGTGTGTGTGTGTGTGTATATATATGTATATTCTTCCAGCGTCTTTTTCATTATGTAATGTACCATATGGATAGTTATAGACTTTATGCATACTATTTAGAATAGACAGTTTTGCAGAGAGAATCAGGAGTCCATACTTTGGGACAAAGTTTCAAGCAAACTGTAAGCAAATTTGAATAGATTTTAAAATACAGATTGTCAGTAGAGTAGAAAAAACGTCAGCAGTTGGTGTGGGGTCTGTTTCTAATAGTTCTAGGTGCTCCTAGAGGTTCAGCCAGTTTAGATTTGTTTGTGCAACTTAAGGAATCTTAAAAATAATTTTCAAATCCCCAGAAGTTTGAATTGGCCAGTAATATGTTATTGATAATAATATCAAGAATATTTTATTCTTAATCCCAGAAAGAATATTGCATTTTGGAATCTTTGGATGAAAAATGGGCCAAGAGTTAAGCACTTTGCTCTCTTTCCTTCCCTTTGCTATTCCAGGGTGCTCTGGTCTCTGCTGCTCATTCCTAGTGGCAGCGAGAGCCCAATCACATCCTTTATAGCTGAAGTATAGACTGTTGAGAAATTGTAACTTTGTGGATAGGACTCAGGAGTATGTGATATTCTGCTTCTACTTGATATTTAAATAATTTCTTAAAAATGCATTCTGCTAAGATAATCTATAGATACGTTCTTCTGGAGGAGGACCTGTTAGTAATATGTTGATAATATGTATTTATTTGCAAAGAACTAAAATTAATTTCATTTGTATCTATTTCCTTCAACTTCATTCTCATTTTCTGAGGATATTGCATTTCTCCCCAGAACATTAGCAGGTCAAGATAGCAGATTTTGGACTGCTCCTTCAGGCAGCAGTAGTCCAAGTCCTCTCCTCAAGGACACACTTATTTTTTGTCCCCGTTATTGTTTATATTTTTAATTCTTTTTTAAGATGGCGTGCATGTAAATATGAAAAGCTTTTTATTGATCATATTTGTGAGGCTTTTGAGTTCCAGGTATTGTATTTTCTAATCTAATTTTAGGTAGTCTTTATTAAATACCCCATCGCTTTTTGTAAGTACATTGCAAAGCTTTATTTTTCCTTCACAAACCATTATGTGGGAATTGCTTTTAATAGTTGGGTCTATAATATCCTAACTTAAATTCATAGAGTGTGGCTGCATTATTTTGTTTTTTTAAACATGTAGTCCCTTATTTTTAATTTTGTAGTTTGTGATCTAGTCCATCTATTGGTGAGATTTAAAAAAGGATCTCCACCACCTATATGAAAGGAAACAAAATGTAAGATATATTTAATAGATTTAGTAGCAAATTTCTGTCCTGTTTGACTAGCCCTTAGAAGTAGAATCTCTACTCGGTTCCCTGCGAAAGAACTTGATTCTCTAATTACTTTTCTTTTGAGTAGTATTGACTCTCAAAGATACTGGCTAGAGAAGAAAGGCCCAGTGAATGCAATTTTAAAGGTTAAAGAACTACATCATGCTACATCTTTTCCAGTCACCTAAAATATGTTCAGAAGTTAAATTAATATAATTAGGATTGAATTTATGGTTTATAGGCTATTTTTGTAAAATTATTTATATATTGCTTTTTCCGTCATTTAAATCTACACTTGATATTGTTTGAGACTTGAACAAACTCTGTATGGATTGTTATCTCACACTGGATCAAATACCAGTTTTACCACCAATCATTGATGTAGCCACAGCATTTTTTTACATTTCACCTTTTCTATTTTAAATTACAATTCTGAGTGCTAGATGTTCAACTTTCCAATAAAGGAAAAGTGCTTTTTGCCTAGTTTAACATTTGGCTACAGTGTTACATTAAGAATACAACTTTAATATTGGAATGCCTCTTTAGATTACGTAAATTTGAGAGAGTTACCTGAAAAAGTCAGGAGATTGCCTTGTGGCTAGCTTGAAGTTACGTGACATTTGGGGGCCCCTTTTTCTTCCTACTCAGTATGCTATAGACAGCTTCAGTAATATCAATGGTATAATTGCTATAATAAGTTTACTATTATGTTTTTGATTTTTTGTTGTTAATCCTCACATGAGGATATTTTTTCCATTGCTTTTCAGAGAGCGGAAGTGGGGAGGAGAGAGAGAAAGAGAAACATCAGTGTGAGAGAGACACTGACTGGTTGTCTCCCGCACAAGCCCTGCCCTGGGGCGGGAAGTGAACCCGCAACCCAGGTAGGTGCCCTTGACGTGCTCGGGGCCGATGCTCCAACCACTGAGCCACACAGGCCAGGGCATATTTTTGATTTTTAAACATCCTTTGAAGCAGAGGGTTTATGTGGCCAACTTTGACACAAAAATGATTTTTGGTAACCTTTTGTCTATCTGGTGGCCATAAGCAAAAACAAATACTTGTTATACAAGCTTTATAAATTTGGCTTCATTGAAGGTACTTGTCAAGTAAATGCCTTTAATTTATAAATTAAGCAGAGTTTTAATGTCTTGTAAAGTTAATTATATTTACTTCAGATAAAATATTCTGACTTCTAAAATTGAGAATAAGTGGTATACATTGGAGAAAACTGGAATTCCCAAATTATTTCTTCATTTGTAGAATGAGGCTATAATATTAAATAAGTTCAGATATCATTAAAAGGACCCATACTTTTTTCACATTAACACAAAATGGATCCATCAGTGTTTTCAGCATTTTTGTAAGATGATAAGCTACAGCTGGGTATAGAGATAAACCCCCTAAAGCTTAGGTTACAGGATCCAAGTGAACTTAAAAATTGGGAGTATTTTTTTTAGGTAATACAACAACAATAACAAAATCTTATTTTATTCTAGATGTTTGGAAGGGTTTTCATATATCTTAATATTAATTTTATATTTTATTTCAGTTGTATAGACAAAGCCCATAATTAAGAGTATGAACAATCTAAGTAATACTAGGTTTTTGGATGTTAAGCCATATAATTTAAAATTTTACAGAATAAATGTGTATGTGTGTAGTGTTTTAAAGCTATGTTTAGGAGTAATATTTAATTATGTAAACAGCTTTCAAATTCTGATTCATTTCCTTGAGTCAGTATTAAGGATGTTTGTATTTTTGACAAGTAAATTTTTGAGACTATTTACTTCCTATATATTAAAAAGAGTGGGGGCTTTCAACTGCTAAAATTTTTGTGAAGTTAATTAGGGTGAAAATCAACATTTTTTTCTAATAAGCAATTTCTGTACAATTTTTCTCAAGGTTTGTTGGCATCCAAAGCTGTTGGGGTGGATGGTGCTGAAAAAAAGGAAGACCACAGTGAAACGGCTCCAATGCTGGAGCAGGTATGAAATGGTAGCATTTGATTTTTTTCAAGGTTCCCAACTGGAATGATCCCGGAGCTATGATATCCACGTAATTGAAATTGCCCTTTTGGTCAGATGTGGGACTAGGAAGCTAATTAATTGATATATTTTTAACTCTGCCTTCTCCAAGGTATACAAACTACAGACTTCATTTGTGTTTGTTTTCAGTAGACTGACATTAAAGCTTTGTCTCCAACATTTGAACGCCTGGAGACAGGCATCCCAGGGTATAAGCTTCCAGCTGGATCACCTTTAACTAGCTTACAGAAAGACCCTTACACAAATACTTTTCATTTGTGAGTTAAAACAGGGTTTTTGACATCTAATAAAGCTTCTTTTGTAAGAAGTTTCTTTTATATTGTAACAATTGGTGTTAGACTGACTATGTGTTTTATGAATTGATCAATGAGCCATACATTTTTTGCTAGGATGTATATTTTAATAACTACAAAAAAAATTTTAAAAAACTATTAAGGGTCTGTCTTTAAACCACCTAATAGAGGAATTTAAAAGTGAAGGTTGCAGTTGCTAGATTTTTGCCTTGGCTGCCTTCAGATGACCACAATACCTGTACATAATGACTGTGCATGCTTTTACATCCTCTAAGGGCTTAACTTCTTGGGCACTGTAAAACTATAAGAACACAGTAATAGCCATAACTGGATCTCCTTGGTTCTCCTGGTTTAAAATCTGAGCCTTAATGTAGTTTTAATATATCCTTTTTGTATTATTTTAATTTTCTTTATTAGTAGGCTAATAAAGAAGACTTTAAAATGAATATCTTTTGCTTTTATCTATATGCGTACAAAAAAATACTCCAAATTTAATTGATATTGTATTGAGTTTTTCAGGGTTATTTTAGGCCTGATTTGATAACAATGCATTGTTTTGGTGCCTCCATGAATGTTATATTAAATCAGCGGTCTTTTAAATTCATATGTCAGTAAATCATACCTTCTGATTTTCTGTGATCATCAAACGGTTAAGTCTTTGCCGTTATTGTCAGTATATCAACCAAATTTTAAGTGACTTTTTTTTTTTTACTGTGTATTACTATATTCAACGTCCCAGATATAACATTATTTTGTATTTTCACCACTGTTTATGGTATTGTCAGAACTCAGTAAATCAGGGACTTGGGTAATAAAATGTTTCTGGAAAATTCATTACAATGTCAATCTTTCATTATGCACAATCCTGCTGAGGTGAATGTGAAAATTACTTATTATACATGGAGGTTAGTGTAGAGGGCAGTGCCCATTTCAGAGAGAACAGAAATCAACATTTTGAAATTGAGTTAAAAAAAGAAAAATTGAGTAACTCGGCTGTTTCTGTTTGCATAACTTAAAAAAATTTGAGAGTCCTTGCCAGTTTTGTAACAAAGAGACCAGACCAATAATCATTAATGAAAACATTGTAAATTGTTTAAGATTTTTAAGGAACGTAATGCTGTGCCCTCATTTTTTGTCATTCAGGTTGATTTCAATGTGAAAATGTTTGAAACCAAATTCTTACATTTTATGCTGTTTGCCCTGCTTCCAAGTTAAAAAGCCGAGTTATAAAACTCTGAATTACATCTTCATTGGTGTCAACAGCAGAGTTAAAGGAGAGGTGTTGATTGTCACTAACCTCTGTTGTCCTAATGAGTAAAGTAGTGTTACTCATAACATAGACTTTTAACAGGCCTACAGCCAAAATTTACTGTGCTAATAATGGATTTATTTTATTTACGTTAAAAATATTCAAACTCTGTGGTCTTGAACCCCAATTCTCAGATTATTAATTATAGATTACTTAATTGTATTAGGGAATTGTTATGTTATATTTACTTTTGGATAAAACCTGCATTAGATGCATAATTCAGTAAGTTTTTTAAAATGTTAATTTGTCCTTGTTTAGAAGTTAAGCACCTTATCAAGATATTAATTTAAGTTTTAAAACCTTGTTTTATAACTTTGTAACTTGAGAGTAATGGATGCTGTAGTGATGTCTCTCACATATGTGAAGATGAACAATAAAATTGTTTATTTACAAGTAATGGCTCTAATTACTTTTCTGGCAACACCTTTAATGATAAGCTTAGAAATCCTTTCCATTTGGAATACTTTTTCACATGATTAATGTGCACTTACACACATGTGTAATGAGTAAATTCAACAGTAGAAATGATGACAAATAAATGGAACACTTGACACTCGCCCTTTTATGTGGTATGTCCAACATGCCATCTATAGAGCATTCAAAGCTGCCCTGCTTAATGCCAAATATACGCTTTTTTCCCACCAAAATTTGAGTGCCTTGTATTTTAGTGGAAACAGAAATCTGTTGAGTCTCCAGCGATGATCTTTCATATTCCGGAGAACTACAGACTGCAGGCTCAATGGTCATCCCTCACCAAAGACATGGAAGCTAAAAGGTTTCTTAGGGACAAGTATACTGTTCAGAGTGCTAGCAACTTGATTCTTTATAGAAGCCTATCTTAGTGTAGATATAAAAAAAAAAAGTGTATCTTATAAGAATATCAGAAAGAAATACAGTATAAGCATTCTAAAACCATAGATTACAAATCCATCCAATGTGGCTATTCTCTGTTGTCTTTGGACACATTCACTTACATTTTTACATAATGTAGGAAATTTTATTGCCAAATAAAGAACTGACAAAGTTCTAATTTTTTTTTAAAAGTATCAGTTGGCAGGAAGAAGGTAAAAACTCTCACCTAAGAATGCGACGTATTTTGTTTTAAATCCAATGTTTTAAACTTACACTTGGTTTTACTCCTTAGTTTTTTTTGTTGTTGTTGGCTTGTTTTGTATTGTTTTTTAGTCTTTTAACTCTGAACTGCTGGTGGCTTTGATTTCATGATGCATTATGCTTATGAAACTCTAGCTTTCAGCACTCAAATGAGTTAAAGATAATGTTTCGTTAATTTGATCATTGTTTTCCTGTTGAGATCTTTCTTTAAAGGGAAACTGTCCACTTAGACTTCCGCGTTCAATTTGATAAAGGAAGTTCTAAGAGAACATCTGAAAGTCAAAGGTTTAAGTGTATTTCTCTAATGCTCTAAACCATGAAAATGCTGTTTGTTTACCTAATTATTATTAATGTCATTGGTAATTATGGTTTCAAAAGATGTATATTTAAATTTAATACTGATAATATTTGTCCAGTAAGATAACATTTTATATCCTGAGAATATTATGAATCTAATACATTTTTTAAAAGCCAAATTTAGACCAAGTGGACAGCATCCCTTTAAAGACAACCTATTCAACTTTTAGTTAATAATTTGTGGGGTTATTTTTGGTTTTTCATTTGTAATAGAAATGTTATATGTTGCTTAACAATGTTTTTGGATACTAAAGTTGCTTAACAGTCAAAATAGAGTACAAGAACAAAAATGAAGAAACCAAAATAAAAATATCAATTTTTTATTATTTATTCAGGCGATTTCACCTAAACCTCAAAGTCAGAAAAAAAATGAAGCTGACATTAGCAGTTCTGCCAACACTCAGAAACCTGCACTGTTATCCTCAACTTTGTCTTCAGGGAAGGCTCGCAGCAAGAAATGCAAACATGAATCTGGAGATCCTTCTGGGTGTATAAAGCCCCCTAAATCACCACTTCCCCCAGAGTTAATACAAGTCGAGGATTTGACGCTTGTATCTCAGCTTTCTTCTTCAGTGATAAATAAAACTAGTGAGCACAGATTTTTAAAAAATAGTTCCTTATCCTATAAGATTCTTGGAAACAGTTTGATTGTAGTCATATTGTATTTTTATGAAGTTGCTTTTTAAAAATTCAAACTTAAGTGGCTATGATAGGGAAGGCTTGCAGCTATTTCAGGGGCAAAACCCATCGACCTTTCTGACTGATGTATTGTGCAGAGACTGCCCTGCTGGTTGAGAAACCGTACCATTTAATACTGCAAATGCCACTGTAGCTTGATTCTCCTCTAATCAAAGCACAATGAGAGGCCTGATTCATTACAAAAAACAAAACCAGATATAAAACTGACCTGAGGTGGACCTTTTTCCTTAAGTCCTGAGACTGTTCTCGTGGGTAGATGTAGTTAGTGCTCCCACTTTCTGGATCCCCTTCTGCAGTTCACACTCTTCGTTCTTACCCTAGTACTCAGAGTGCAAACCTCAGTTATTCGTATTGAAAGAAGAATGCTTTCTTGATCATATTTTTAAAAATTTTACTGTTTCAGTACTACTAATCATTCAAGAGTTAATTTAGCCTTTTTAAAAATAGCCTTTCAACATGGGTTTGGGTATATATAAGACAACATTCGTGTTGACTCTGTTTCTTATATTAATGTAGTATTCTAAGTTAGAAAAAATATGAAAAGCAGTTAACCTGGAAAGTAATATGTGGGAAAAGATACTTTTGTTATTTATGCAACAAATGAATTAGTTCCCTTATTAGTAAATGAATATGACATGTTTCCTTATGAATTCCTCTGCATCACATCTTCCACAACAATGAAAAATGTTGGCATTGAGAAGACTTTCCAATCAAATATATTCTCCTCTTCCATTCAATTGCCATATTTTCTCCTAAGCCATATAGTATTAATTTTCGATACTTTTTTTGTTTTGTTCTTTTTAATATGTGGGTAGAAAGGATGGGAACAGAAAAACTGAAATATTTCCTCGTTATGGCATTTATCATGAAATAATGTCAGTAGTCACATTAAGTATTTTATTTTGGAATTGTTTTGTATTTTGGTATTACAACCACAGTGTGGCAGCAATTGAAGTTTATTCTTTTATTATTTTAAATTAATCATTTTTTTTATTTTGACTTTTGTAAAATTACTTTTAAATACCCAAGCATAGACCTCTTTAGACCACTTACTTCCTCCTTCTAAATTAATACGACTGTATTGGCCTTATGTAATCCTGCCTATTTGAAATAATCAAACGTTTACATGCCACTTAGAAAGAAGAAACCTAAAGGTTATTAAAAAAAAGACAGGAATTTTCAAACTTTTGTATTACATAGCTAGAAAGATGCTTAACTGACTTACCAAATTAGTTATTAAAAACAGAAGAAACCACTTGAGGGCAAGAACATTGCCATTTTCTTCTAAAATCCTGATTATTTGCCCATGAGAGATACTTATAGTTGTGTTCAATTTTTTTTTTTTTAATGAATCAGGCCCAAATATGCTTATACAAATCTATTAGGGGAATGAGGGTGGGAAAAAGTTATTTACATTTCTTTTACTTTGGCAAGTAAAGCACTAACTACAATGCATGTCAGATTTTTGTCACCTATGCTCCTGCCTTTTTTCCCCTTAGAGTTGCTAGATTTGTAATGTAGCAAAAGGGATATCTATTTTTAATCTTTGGCTATACAGAGACTATTTTCCCAAAGGAAAAATGGCAACTAACACAACAATCTGCAATTAGAAAGTTAACAGTAGCCTGTCACGTGGGGAAACCACCTGAAATTAATATTCCATGTTATCTTCTTTTGATTCTAGTAGGCTTTGATTTTAGAAGTTTTGATTAACTCTTTTTGTGAATGAGGGCAGTTTTTGCCTTTGATTACCTCTGGAACATGCCGTTCCTGTGGATACCTTACAGCATCAGAGGGCAGTATTTGAATAATTTTCCCACTTATCTCAAATATTATATGATGATCCTGGAATGTATCTGCTTCGTGAACATTGAAGATCTTTTTCTAGGTCCTCCACAGCCTGTGAACCCCCCTAGACCTTTCAAGCATAGCGAGCGGAGAAGAAGATCTCAGCGTTTAGCCACCTTGCCCATGCCTGATGATTCTCTAGAAAAGGTTTCTCCTCCCTCTCCAGCCACTGATGGGAAAGTATTCTCCATCAGTTCTCAAAATCAGCAGGAGACTTCAGTACCAGAGGGTAATGTATATTGATTTCCTACAGAACCAAACATAAAAGAAGATAAAGGAAATACTAAGAGACAAAGACTATTAAAATACTAAGAAATGTCTGCTTTTTCCTTACATCTTTTGGACTTATAAGCTCTTCATTTATTCTACAAATAGTTACCGAGTGCTTCTTTATGCCAGGCACTGTTTAGCTTATATAACATTTAAATCCACGTGGATATTAACTGAGCCAGTTTATCTATGTTAATATTATATTACATTCTTTATCTTGTGTAGTGCCTGATGTTGCACATTTGTCATTTGAGAAGCTGGGACCCTGTCTCCCTCTTGACTTAAGTCGTGGTTTGGAAGTTGCAGCACCGCTAGCTTCAGATCCCTCTTACCATAATGAGTGTCCCAGGGCAGACAAGGTCGATACACAGACGCTTACAAATCCTTCTTCCAAAGCAGTAAGTGATGGGAGAGGAGCTGCAACGGCATCAGGTAAAAACAATTCATTTTACAAATAGCTAGACTTGCATTTATAGGCTCTAAACATTGTGATGTATAGCTACAGTTTACAGTAATGATACGTAATTCCTCTTTGAAAATACTTATGTAACATCTGTGGGAGATAGGGTTTCTCTGTTTCAGGTTCTTTTGTGCCATCATTTACTATCATATGCCCTGGACATACTTCTCTGTCAC